TCTAGCCCTCATGCCTCCGGAGAGAACTTGTTCCATTGTATCTAAGTCGGAGACTCCTCTTCACGTTTGTTACCATCTTTGAAATGAAAAGTTGACTTAGTCCATGGTATGTCATAATGTTGTCAACAGCCTGGAAGGGCTTAAGTGGCATATCTAAAATTGATGACTTCTTAGACTCAGTGAGCAATATATTTTTCTAAAATAGATTGAGACTTTTGATTCACTTCCTGTTTCTTGGCATCTCCATCTGCCCAACACTGCGCTCTTCTGACTCTCTGGACTCCTGTGTCCCTAGCTGTGTCCCTTCCTTGGACTTCATCCTGGAAGACAGCTGAAGAGTCTCTTTAGTTGTTCTCAGCCTGCCTTTCTCTCCCTTTCTGTCCCCACTCCTCAGGCAGAACTGGGCCTTGCTGGTTCTTATAGTTGTAGACATCGTGCTTCTCCCAGCCAGCAGCCTTTGTAGGGGCCGAGACTGCATCTTAACTGTCTCTCATCTCGGGCCTGATAAGCCATGTGTGCTCAGGAAATGTTTGAATGGAATAGATGAGAAACTGGACATCCTGCCTCTGGAGGTGCCTTGGGAATTGGCTTATAAACTCCAGGGTGTTTTGTATCTCTTTTTAGGAGGTGCTTGCTTTTCCAAAGCTCACACTGCTGTCCTCACGTGGAGCCTGCTGGCCCAAGTTTCTCAGTAAACAGGCCACTTTTTTTTTTTTTTTTTTGCAGGGGGATACTGGGGATTGAACTCAGGGGCACTTGACCACTGAGGCATGTCCCCACCCCTGTTTTGTATTTAATTTAGAAACGGGGTGTCACTGAGTTGCTTAGCAGCTCGCTTTTGCTGAGGCTGGCTTTAAACTTGTGATCTCCTGTCTCAGCCTCCCAAGCTGCTGGGATTATAGGCATACGCCACTGTACCCGGCCACGCAGGCCTCATTTTATTGAAAGATTTTACTAATTTATTTGCACCTGCTTTGGTTTGTCTTAGTGTTTTCTCTATCTTCTTATGAACTATGATGTAGAATGTTTTGAAATATAAAATTATTTTGTGGCCAGCTGCCATCAGACTTGAGGGAACTATCCCAAAGGTGAGCCTGCCTCTTTAATCAAAGTACATGACTTGGTTCTCTGCAAACTGGGAGACAGCCTTACCTATTAGATGGACTTGGCTGTGGAGGCTCAGATCCTACCCAGCCACTCCCGGTAGTGCTCTTGAGCAGGTACTTAGCCTTTCTCACCCTTTATTTCCCCACCTAGAAAATGTGCAGTACTCAGTGAGATGAGGTGGCTCATGTAATGACATTGTAAAATAGTGTCTGAAACCCAGTGAGTACTCAGGTTCATTTCCTCAAATTCTTGTTACTTACAATGTAACATTCTCAAATGTTTTCTCCCTCTCTAGAAAGGAAGCTCAACTTTTTCTTTTTTTGTACTAGGGATTGAACTCAGGGGCACTTGACCACTGAGCCACATCCCCAGCCCTATTTTGTATTTTATTTAGAGTCAGTGCCTCACTGTTGCTGAGGCTGGCTTTGAACTTCTTATCCTCCTGCCTCAGCCTCCTGAGCTGCTGGGATTACAGCATGAGCCACCATGCCCAGCAGAAGCTCAATTTTTAACTCTTAATTCTCCCTCCCCCTCCCCACTGCCCTAGTACTAAGGATTGAACCCAGGGGCACTCTACCATTGAGCTGCCTCCCCAGCCCTTTCTTAAATTTTTAAAAATTTCAGAGACAGAGTCTCACTAAGTTGCCAGGCTGGCCATGCATTATAAGAGTTACCTATTCCAATTGTCCATCTTGAATCTGGGAAAATAACCGCAGGTGAGGATGCGGACCCACTAGACTCTGAGATATCCTGAACTAAAATTTCATTGATCACCTGACCTCCATCAGTCCCTGCTCTGACTGATGGACCACTGCACCATTTTGGTCTTTTGGAATTGGTGTCATTTCAGAATCAGTGTTCAGTAATCCCCGATAGCTTGACAATTTTCTCTTTTCCAGTGCACATTTGGTAAATGACTGTAGGTCCCTCTGGGAGGTTGGAGAACTAAGAAATCTAACCCCCTACCTCAGCATTTGCAAAATGAGCTAGCATTTCTCATGGCTGAATATAAGTTGAGCCACAGGTTGTTCCTTTATCTGGTCTAATTTAATAAAAATTAAAATAAACTAGGGCCTTGGCTGGCCAGAGAGAGAGATTCCCTGGTAAGTCAGGCAAGTGTAGAATGGTTTTTGGGCTGTCCTTAAGGTGCACATTCACTTATATCTTAAGGACTTGGTTCTGAAGGCTTGTTTGGTGGCTGTAGTTAGCAATTCTGGCATACATTTGACAGAGATGGGGGTCTTTTTAGGTACAGGGGTCATCCCAAATAAAAGCAGCCTGAACTAGTTAGCACATAGATCTCAGTTGTTTACCCCCCCCCCCCCCAAGAAATATGATGGAATTATTCACTTCTGGTCTTCTACCTAACATGTGAGAACTTTATTTTGTGGCTTAGAACCCTGAGATTATTGAAATCATGACTTCCAAGGCCCTGGTTGGGGTGGGTGGCAAGGAGGAGGTTAGTGATGGTCAGTGAGTGATTCCTTCAAAGTGTCTTTATCCTCTGCAAAATGTATTTCATATGATCTGTGACTTTATTCGTGTCAATTGTGCACTATAGGTGAATTCTCAGTTTGATCGATGAGAAGACAGAGCCACCAAAAAAGACTTGACACTCAGGTTCAGAGACCAGGTTTCTAGCCATTTTCTTTCTTTCTTCTTCTTCTTTTTTTTTTTTTTTTTTAAAGAGAGAGGAGAGAGAATTTTTTAATATTTTTCAGTTTTCGGTGGACACAACATCTTTATTCTTATGTGGTGCTGAGGATCGAACCCAGCGCCCGGCGCATGCCAGGCGAGCGCGCTACCGCTTGAGCCACATCCCCAGCCCCTCTAGCCATTTTCTTTACCTCACTTTTCCCTTAAACTAAAAGTCCACCTAGCGAGCCAGTGGGTAGAGTTGGGGTCTGCACCCAGACGTGCTTCACCACAGAAATGCACCACGTGTGGGGTGCCGTCACCCTGGCTTGCTTCACCATAGAAATGCACCACGCGAGGGGTGCCGTCCGTGTCCCCTGCTTCCCTCTGGTCATAAGTAGCCAGGAGGCCCAGGCAGGCACTCTGCCTGAAATGAGGGCTGGAATTCTAACCTCTTTCGTTCTTCTGGTGGGCAGCTGTGGGGCTCCAGCTTCTGAAATAAACCCAAGGCCCTTGCGTGTTCAGAGTAGTTCTGTCTCTGGGACAAGTAGCTGGGCTCCCAGGTTTTCCATTCTGTCATGGATGCCATTTCGGCTCCTGAATGTCCAACGTTTCCCTTCCCCACACGCAGCCCCTCCTTCAGCATCTCTTGAGGTTGGCTCACTCCTTAGAGCAGGGCCCTCAGTCCAGGGGTCCCATCTGCCCCACCTACACACTAACTTCAGGCACTTTTTTGAGCCCCCCCCCCCCACACACTTTTCTTTCCCCAGATTCTTGTAACCTAGACCGACATTATGGTCTGTTTGGTAGACTTGTTTTCTTTTTTCCCCATCAGTTGCCATAGTTACCAACTTTGTATATAAAATAATCATCATTCCCCACCCTTCATTCCCCCACCAGAAGTTTCACTGTTTTCTGATGTGGCCTTTGCAAAAGGAATCTGATGACCTTTTAATCTTCTCCTTTCTGGCTGTACCACCAGGAAACCATACTCTTCTTTTGCTTTCTTTCTCCAGAGTCTAGATGGATTGGGGCTTCAGGTCCAAACACTGCTTCATTTTGCAGTGTTTTTAGGTAGAGAGCCTCAGCCTGCTTGCCAGTGACCTAGAAAGAGGATTATGAGAGGGAAACAACTGATATTTAAAAAAAAGGAAGCCACCTGCCCTAGACTGGCACTACCTGTATTACTTTATGAGTAATATAAACAAATAAATTATATAATTGTAGGGAAAGTGAGGTATGTTAGGGTCAAAACCTAAAGCTTTTGTCAAATAACCAAGGTTCAACCTGGAACTCCAGACCTCTGGCCTTGGTAGGCCACGTGCCTTGGTTATGTCTGGTAATGTCGGGGCTGTCTGGGGTGGCGTGAAAAGCAGCCTCTGGCAGAGGAGGTGCAGCTCCTGTCATTGGGAGGATGGCTACATCATACTGGGACTTGTTTACCCCCTCCTGTGGTTCATTTCTGTGTCCATTGTCTGTGCCCTCTCAGCATAGTTACCTTCTTACTTCCTCTTCTGATCCACTGTCTGACCTTTAAAGGGTAATTGGGGTCCTGTCCCTTCTGACTCCTTCACCTCTGGCAAGGCCTGCCCTCTCCATTGTTGATGGGGTTGACCTTCTGCTGACTCACAGCTTCCAGTGGTTGCTGTCCTGGGTACCTGCCTCCTTGAAACTCGGCTTTGAAGAGCCAGGCACGTGTTGCCTTCCTGATTTGTACTAGGTGTACGGGGCTAGCAGAAGACACTGCTGGGCTGGAAGGGGCTTCTGAAATATTGTGCCATTCTCCCTACAACAATAGAGTCCTCACACAAAGAAGGGAGGGGCATTTGCCTGGTGTGGAGTAACAGTGATGATAGAAGCAGGGAACGAATGCTCTGTAGCCTGCTCCCGTGCTTTACCTTGTCTCCTCTTCCCAGCAGCCCTGGGAGGTATGAATGCATGATGCTCCCTGTTCAGAAAGAGTGAAGGAAAAAATGGCTTCCCAATCAACCATGTAGCAGTGAACCTGACTGAGCTCCTACCCAGGCCTCCACACCCCAGGTGCTTGACACCTGTCCCTGCTCCCTGTGCCATCCCTAGACTTGCCCTGTGTGGGTAGAAACACTCCTCAATGTCTAGAGTTGGCTTGGTGCCAACAGTTGGAGAATTGGAGGAGCTATTTGTCACACTGTCTCTCTTAACTTTAACGTAGTGCATTCTTTGGTTCCAAAGTGATGTGAACATGTCCATCTCACGCTCTTTCCTGTCCTTTGGTTTAGGAGAGAGGATCTTGGGCTGTGCCGAGGAGCCCTGCTATCTCTGGTTTGTCATGGAGTTCTGTGAAGGTGGAGACCTGAATCAATACGTTCTGTCTCGGAGGCCGGACCCAGCCACCAACAAAAGCTTCATGCTACAGCTCACGAGCGCCATTGCCTTCCTGCACAAAAACCACATCGTGCACAGGGACCTAAAACCAGACAACATCCTCATCACAGAGCGCTCTGGCACCCCCATCCTCAAGGTGGCGGACTTTGGACTGAGCAAGGTCTGTGCTGGGCTGGCACCTCGAGGCAAAGAGGGCAATCAAGACAACAAAAATGTGAATGTGAATAAATACTGGCTGTCCTCAGCCTGTGGCTCAGACTTCTACATGGCCCCTGAAGTCTGGGAGGGACACTACACGGCCAAGGCGGACATCTTTGCCCTAGGCATTATCATCTGGGCAATGATAGAAAGAATCACTTTCATTGACTCTGAGACCAAGAAGGAGCTCCTGGGGACCTACATTAAACAGGGCACTGAGATCGTCCCTGTCGGTGAGGCGCTGCTAGAAAACCCAAAGATGGAGTTGCACATCCCCCAGAAACGTAGGACTTCCATGTCTGAGGGGATCAAGCAGCTCTTGAAAGATATGTTAGCTGCTAACCCACAGGACCGGCCTGATGCCTTTGAACTTGAAACCAGAATGGACCAGGTCACATGTGCTGCTTAAAATTCAGGGCTGAACATCTTGGGTGTTTTTAAACTAGGTGAGTGCTCTCTTGTCATCCTGGGCCCTGGGTGGGCTCTGGAGAATTGGGGGGAGAAATGAAGGGTTGGTGAGAAGTAAGGGCTTGTTATCTCCCCGCAAGTCTTGATGAAGAGATAGGTGGGATTGTTGGAGACGAATTGGGAAGCATAGGGAAGTCTCTTGAGGATGTTGTGGGGTTGAATTTTATATGTTCTTCAGGAACACCCCATCAAGTAATAAATGCAAAAGAGCTATAATACTTCAGGAAATAAGCATGGCCTAATCCTAACCCTCCAGTTCACACATCCAGTTCTCCAGTGTTTAGATCTGATTGTGGTCACAGGTTACCTAACTGCTCTTCTCACTGGTCTTCTAACCAGTGAAGACTAATTGATCTTCTGCCCTTTGCATTCCATGCTGGTCTGAGCATCTCCTCATCATACTTGAAATATGTGGTTTTCAGTGATCTTATGACAGTACATTATATAGACCATAATTTAACCATTCTCCGACTTTAGATAAAAAATAGTGTCTCCATTTTAGACACTATAAAGAACATAGTAATGAATAGTCTCTTTATTTTCATACCAGGGACTGAGCCCAGGGTCTCCCTACATTGAGCCACATCCCCAGCCGTTTTTATTTAGAGACAGGGTCTCAGTGAGTTGCTTAGAACCCTGCTTATTTGCTGAGGCTGGCTTTGAACTCGAGATCCTCCTGGCTTCTCCTAATCACTGGGATTATAGGCGTTCACCCTGCTGGAAGTCCCTTTCTTGTTCAGCAGAATTACTGTGGGTTCATTTGTTGATGCTGTGCTGGCTCTGGAGTAACATGATAAGCAAAATCAAACTTTCCTACCTTCATACAACTTTAAGTAAGGAGCAAAGCATTGATCAGTATTTGTCATAGTTGTTGGTAGTGAATGCAGGAAGCATTAAGGGCAGTTGACCTCTAAGAGGCAAGAATAGGGAATTGGGGGTAGCAGGGAGGATCCCAGGTGGAAGGATCAGTTTCTGCAAAGGACCTGGTGCCAGAGAGATCCTGGCACATGAGAGAGACAAGAATAATTTTGGTTAGTGAGGAAGAACAGGGACCTGCCAGGAGAGGGAACCTGTGACGGAGGTTAACAGGTAGAAAGTCCAAAGTTGTGTGCCCAGACTAGAGTCTTGAGGAGCTGGCAGGGGAAGTAGATCAGAAATTGACCTCTATGAGGGGGACATATTCATGTGCCATTTCACTTCACTTTGACAACCGTGCAAGGGGTTAAGTGGTTATCTAAGATCCTACTAAGTTTACAGCAGGGACGTGCTACTCGAGCAGCCCCACTTTCTCCCCCTTTAAAGTCAGTGTGGAAATAAGCTGTCCCGGACGAGCTTGGCGATGAGGTGATGGGGGCTAGTGCTAGTCCCAGTGGGTCACAAGGAAGGAGCCTCCGAACCACTCAGCCCAGGCCTCCGTCAGCCGAGTCAGTCCTACTCTCTTCTTTCCTGTCCTCTTCCACCTGATTTCTAGGTGGAATTGGTTTGAACTAAAAGGAACTGGTTAACATCAGTGAATATATTTTTGAGCAAGTACCTAGGTTTAATGCTTCCATCCTCAGAGTGCCAGGCTAATTTGTCTGTGGCTCATCGAGTGAGAGGGTTGCATTCCCAAAGTGAGGCCCATGGTCATGCTATATTGGAGACCGGGGGCTTGCCAGCCAGTGTTTGAACTGCATTTCATGCTGTCACTTCCCATGGAGTGCTCTTTGCACTCCATGCTGGTCTGAGCATCTCCTCATCATTGAGTTTATATTTTACATCTCGGTTTTTTTTCTGCTTTTGAAAGCCCTCTTAGAATTCTTAGTTTGCCCTTGTATAGGAGGAACACTGTCACTGGAAGTGGGACCTAAATTTGGGTTAGGATTGTGAGGTTGTCACAGCTAATTGAGATCAGTGTTCCCCTTTGGTTATCCACACTTGGGACTCGAGCTGCTTTACAGGGCAAAGGCAAAGTTTTCACTCCTATTTAGGAGTGATTCCCTCATCAAGAAAGAAAGGTAACCTTGAGAAGAGGGGAAAAGGTTCAGAACTTGTTTACAGGTGAGTATCCCAGGCCAGCCATTTGGTCAGTTCATTTTGAGGTTCTTTTTTTTTTTTTTTTTAAGTTTTCGGTGGACATAACATCTTTATTTTATTTTTATGTGGTGCTGAGGATCGAACCCCAGCTCCCCGCACATGCCAGGCGAGCACGCTACCACTTGAGCCATCCCCAGCCCCACTTTGAGGTTCTCACAGCTAATTAGTACTATACTGGTGGTGCCAGTTTCACTGGCCTGACTTTCCCTTTGCTAGCCGGGCACTTGGAACTGTGGGCTACGCCTAAGTCTGTGTGACTAGAGCTGAACTATGGTGCTAGAAGCTTCCCATTCGTTGACCCATAGATGAACTGGATCTGGCTGGTTAGAGAATCAGGCTTGAGCTGAAAACATTGAATTCAGGGCCCCACCTGAAAAACTGATTTTATTCACTCTGTATTTATTAGGAAACTATCGCCAGATATCATTTCAGGCACAGACAGTACTTTGGTGTACAGAATACATTTTTACAGTTGAGTTTATATTTTGCTGAGAAAACATGCAGTAAATACAGGTCATCTGAAGAAGGCAGCAGTGGAGGAGGGAAAGAGAATGTTGGGAGGTGGGTGGAATGTCAAGGTGAGTCTCCTTGAGACAGTGACCTTTGAGCAAAGGTTGGGAGTTGAAGGAGGGAATTGGATTTCTTGAGCATCCCAGACAGAAAGACTACAGCCAGTATAAAGACCTGGCAGCCAGATGGTAGCCAAGAAGCAAGGATTGGAAAAGAAGATGCAGAGGTAGCTAGGAGTCAAACAGCGGAGGCCTTGAAGGCCATGATAGACATTTTTGCTTTTGGTGTGGGTGAAATGGAAAGCTGTTGGGGTGTGTTGCTGTATGATGCCTCATCTTTTGAAAAAGAGTATTTCGCTGTGCTAAAAATAAGCCATGGGGGGAGCAAGTGAGAGGATGAAAGGATAGTCCCCTGCAATCCAGGTAAGAGATGATGGCAGCCTGCAACAGTGGAGGCCAGGAGGGGATGATTGGATTTGGGGTCTATTTTGAAGTCAGAACTAACAAGATTTCCTGTGATTGGATATGAGGTCTGAGAGAAGGAATTAAGGATGGCTCCAAGGTTTAGGCCTAAGTAGTTAGAAGGATAGAGTTGCCATCAAGGGAATTGGGGAGACATTGGGGAAATGGGTTTGGATGGAGAAAGTTGGGTTTAGTCCTCCGCAGCTTGGCACACCATTTTAGAATTCAAGTACTGACGTAGAGTAGGGAGTTGGCCAACTCTGGAGTTCGGGAGAGGAGTCCGGAGGACTACTCTAAATAGTGGCCATTGGTTAAAACCAATGGCAAACAGGAAGCCATTGGTGATCTTGGTCAGTTTTGGTGGAATAATTCTGACCCCTAACTAGAGTAGATTTGAGCAGGCATGAGAGGGTTTGGAGATAGAAAATTGATCAGTTACTCTCAAAGTTTAGGGAGTAGGCTCCAGGGAACTTTTGTTTGGAATTACGAGTGGATATTTGTTAAAAATTAAAACTGAGAAATGTTATTAAATGTCACCCTTGAATGAATAAATAACATCATAGCTAATATTTTATGAAAAACATTTTCAGAAACATTTAGTAAGTAGTAAGATACTTTTATGTGTCTGCAATTCTCTTTAATGTCTGCCTTAGTAGTCAGCTGGAGGGCTGGGGATATGAGCTCAGTTGGTAGAGTGCCACCTGCCTTGCAAGCACAGGGCCCTGGGTTCAATCCCCAGCACCACACACACACACAAAAAAAAAAAAAAAAAAAACTAGATTCACATTGGCTTCTACAATATAATTGTAGTGTGACATTGCTTCTCATGCAACTTCTGGACAACCTCATTGTACACCTAGGAGACCAAGTGAACAAAGCCAGAAATGTCCTGTTATTATTTTTAAAGGCTCAGCTGCACAGACAAACCAGAGAACCATTAATAAAGATGGCTTTTTCTGGGGAATTTTGCTATGAATAGGAGCCAGGAGGTGGGTGGTAGCTAGAAAACTAGAAATAAGGAGACTATGCAAGGTCCCCAAAGAAGGGACAGAACTTGTCTGTCCTGATTTCCTAGCCAACTTTCCTGTTGGACTTGTCACAGTTCAAACTAGCTGCATATATTAAGGACACTTGACCCCAGTATTGACATGAAGAACACCTCAGCAGCCTAAGATTGCAGATTTCAGAGTGACATTTTAGTCATGGATAAATGATTATAGCTTTTCACAAAAAGGATTGAAAACTTGCGTTTTCCTTGAAAGGATTGGGTTGACTTGGGACAGTATAGGATTGAGTCTTATTTCTGTGGTTTACTGACTGTGTAGCCTCAGGCAAGTTCTTTTACCTCTCTGGGTCTTGGTTTTATCATCCCTAAAATAGAATTGGTCATGTTTATCTTATGGAGATTGTTGGAGTCACAAGAGTTGTGACAGAATTGTCTATAAAACGTGTAGGTTAAGTGCTATGCAGTAGGTTTCTGGATAAGCACTGTGGCCTGAGGTGGAAACACTCCATTCCCCTCAGAAGGCCCTGATGTTTAGTAGCCTTGCTTCTGGGGATTACTGAAGAACTTTTCTTTTAGGACAAAGCTGTATTCAGGGCCACCGTGTCCAATTACTTGTTCCAAAATATTGTATCTATTTTTAACTACTATGTAATGATAGGTCCTATCTCTCCCTTTTGGATGACATTTAATAATTCCTAATGGATCTCACCAGCCAGCCACAAGCCTTACCCCAATCCGGAAGCCAGCCAAACTGATCTTCCAGGTGCCACCGCCTGCATGTTACTAGGGAGGATGTTGTGGGATGAGGGACACTGCGTTCATGGCCAAGTCTGCTGTCCAGTATACAAACCTCCCGTTACTAAGGCCTTTTGAATCCAAGCCCTCAATGACATCTATTTGGAGTAGGCAGCTAAGAGCTGCCGAA